TCTGGTATACATAAATACAGTTACATAGATAATCATACATAGCAGCATATGTGTAGAGAGCCTAGGATAACCCATAAAAAGTTAGACAGAGTGACTTATTTCCATTGGGGTCTCGTGAATATAATTTATTATATTAATGGGGAAGAGCTAAATTCGCTGGGGTGATGCAGTACCTGAGGTGTGACAGGTAATTCATCCTCCTTGAAGGTTACATGAAAAAAAAAATATTATTCTTAGTAATGAAAGATATGTGTCCTTGGCAGCACATAATTACAACATGATGTAGATGTTATCTACATAAAGTGGGTGTGTATAAGTAGTACATTATTGGGAGGAAATTTTTGTCTGTATGTATGTGTTGCACCATTGTCAGGTAATGTTGCCTTCTTCAACTCTCGTTCATAGTTTTTAACCTCTGGGTTCGGTATATATATATTACAAACAAATTTTGAATGCACCTCTAGAAGTCGAATATAAAGATTAGGATATGTAGGTAAATATTAAATAAACAAGATAGTATTAGATCTTGACTGTGATATGTATAATTTTCACTGAAGTGGGACGTATGTGGCACCACTGTTAGTAGGAGAACTGGAGAAGCTCTGCCTGACAGTGTCAGCAGTGGTGCTGGTGGCTCTACGTCACGCTGACAGTCGTTCTTCACTCTTTCTCCACTCCTTTTTGTGTGAGTAAATGTATTTGGTTAGTTGGTTAATGGAGTTTTAAGCATTTTGACAACACAAAGGTCATAAAGGCAGAACGGTAACCTCACCTCCAAACAAAAATATACTTTAATACCTAAGTTACTCATTAAAGTATCCCTCTCTGTGTGTATGTATGTACGTACGTACGTACTCACCTAGTTGTGGTTGCAGGGGTCGAGTCACAGTATTATATTATATATATATATATATATATTATATATTATATATATATATATATATATATTATATATATATAATATATATATATATATATATATATATATATTATATATATAATTTATATATCAGGGTATATATATTGTGTTTACCTGGAGAGGGTTTCGGGGGTCAACGCCCCCGCGGCCCAGTCTGAGATCAGGCCTCATGGTGGATCAGAATCTGATCAACTGCTGGCCGCACACAAGCTGAGGTAAGAACCACAGCCCGGCTGGTCAGGTACTGACTTTAGGTGCTGTCCAGCGCCTTCTTGAAGACAGCCAGGGGTCTATTGTTAAGCCCCATTATGTATGCTGGGAGGCAATTGAACAGTCTTGGGCCCTGGACACTTATTGTGTTGTCTCAGTGTACTCGTGGCGCCCCTGCTTTTCATCGGGGTAATGTTGCATCTCCTGCCGAGTCTTTTGCTTTCATAGGGAGGGATTTTTCGTGTGCAGGTTTGATACCAATCCCTCCAGGACCTTCCAAGTGTATATTATCATGTATCTCTCGCCTGCGTTCGAGGGAATACAGATCAAGGACCTTCAACCGTTCCCAGTAGTTTAGGTGCTTTATTGCACTTATGTGTGCCGTGAAAGTTCTTTGTACACTCTCCAGGTCTGCAATGTCGCCAGCCTTGAAGGGGGCCGTTAGTGAACAGCAGTATTCCAACCTAGAGAGAAAAAGCGATTTGAAGAGAATCATCATGGGCTTGGCATCCCTAGTTTTGAAGGTTCTCATTATCCATCCTATCATTTTCCTAGCGAATGAGGTAGATACATTGTTGTGGTCTTTGAAGGTGAGATCCTCTGACATTATCATGGTTATTATGGTTAGAATTTGCAGTAATTATTGATATTGCCCAGAGATGACGGAAGTTGAAGTCACCTTTATTGTTTAACATGATAATGTACTCATTATTCCCATTAACTCAGTATGACAGGCCATACAAAATGTAAAGCAATAAACTCCACACAAAAGTAACTTCAGACTTGGTGGCTAAAGCTCCCGCTTCACACACGGAGGGTCCAGGTTCGATTCCAGGCGAGTGGAAACATTTCGACGCGTTTCCTTACACCTGTTGTCCTGTTCACCTAGCAGCAAATAGGTACCTGGGTGTTAGTCGACTGGTGTGGGTTGCATCCTGGGGGACAAGATTGAGGACCCCAATGGAAATACGTTAGACAGTCCTCGATGACGCACTGACTTTCTTGGGTTATAAATAACAAAAAGGCACAATACCGTGACTGGTAAGCTTCTGTCTTTTATGTGCGGGTTATTTGTGTATTGTGTTTCTTGGGTTATCCTGGGTGGCTAACCCTCCGGGGTTAAAAATCCGAACGATATCTTATCTTATGACGGAAATCTTCCTGCGTAATGGAGTATGGAAGGAAATCTTCCTGTGTGATGGAGTATGGAAGGAAATTTCCTGTGTAATGGAGTATGGAAGGAAATCTTCCTGTGTGATGGAGCATGGAAGGAAATCTTCCTGTGTGATCGAGTATGGAAGGAGAATTTCCTGTGTGATGGAGCATGGAAGGAAATCTCCTGTGATGGAGTATGGAAGGAAATCTTCCTGTGTGATGGAGCATGGAAGGAAATCTTCCTGTGTGATGGAGTATGGAAGGAAATCTTCCTGTGTGATGGAGTATGGAAGGAAATCTTCCTGTGTGATGGAGTATGGAAGGAAATTTCCTTGGTGTGATGGAGCATGGAAGGAAATCTTCCTGTGTGATGGAGTATGGAAGAAATCTTCCTGTGTTGATGGAGCATGGAAGGAAATCTTCCTGTGTGATGTGATGGAGTATGGAAGGAAATCTTCCTGTGGGATGGAGCATGGAAGAAATCTTCCTGTGTGATGGAGTATGGAAGGAAATCTTCCTGTGTGATGGAGCATGAAGGAAATCTTCCTGTGTGATGGAGTATGGAAGGAAATCTTCCTGTGTGATGGAGTATGGAAGGAAATCTTCCTGTGTGATGGAGTATGGAAGGAAATCTTCCTGTGTGATGGAGTATGGAAGGAAATCTTCCTGTGTGATGGAGTATGGAAGGAAATCTTCCTGTGTGATGGAGCATGGAAGGAAATCTTCCTGTGTGATGTGATGGAGTATGGAAGGAAATCTTCCTGTGTGATGGAGCATGGAAGGAAATCTTCCTGTGTGATGGAGTATGGAAGGAAATCTTCCTGTGTGATGGAGCATGGAAGGAAATCTTCCTGTGTGATGGAGTATGGAAGGAAATCTTCCTGTGTGATGGAGTATGGAAGGAAATCTTCCTATGTGATGGAGTATGGAAGGAAATCTTCCTGTGTGATGGAGATGGAAGGAAATCTTCCTGTGTGATGTGATGGAGTATGGAAGGAAATCTTCCTGTGTGATGGAGTATGGAAGGAAATCTTCCTGTGTGATGTGATGGAGTATGGAAGGAAATCTTCCTATGTGATGGAGTATGGAAGGAAATCTTCCTGTGTGATGGAGCATGGAAGGAAATCTTCCTGTGTGATGTGATGGAGTATGGAAGGAAATCTTCCTGTGTGATGGAGCATGGAAGGAAATCTTCCTGTGTGATGGAGTATGGAAGGAAATCTTCCTGTGTGATGGAGTATGGAAGGAAATCTTCCTGTGTGATGGAGTATGGAAGGAAATCTTCCTGTGTGATGGAGCATGGAAGGAAATCTTCCTGTGTGATGTGATGGAGTATGGAAGGAAATCTTCCTGTGTGATGGAGCATGGAAGGAAATCTTCCTGTGTGATGGAGTATGGAAGGAAATCTTCCTGTGTGATGGAGCATGGAAGGAAATCTTCCTGTGATGTGATGGAGTATGGAAGGAAATCTTCCTGTGTGATAGAACATAACAGGATAAATCATTCCATGGTTAATAATGTTAAGTGTTCAAGGTAGCAGCTGGATATCTCAGTTGTATCTAATCTTGATCAAATAAAAGCGGTCGTGCCATAGATACTATAAAATATAATGGTACACACAAAGAACTACAAACTAAGAAATATTGTCACTAAGAACACTTAAAATACATACATCATTCATTGTGAAAATATCTTACTAAGACTTGCAAAAAGGATTTGGAAAGTATGTAGGGTTTATTTTTGTGTAAAGAAACATAAGGTTTATTAATGTGTAAATAAGCATAGGGTTTATTTATATATAAATAAACAGGATTTATGTGTGAGGAAACATTTATTTGTGTAAATAAACTCGGTTTATGTGTAAATTAACGAAACCCAATAAAAGGTGATGGAGTGCAGGTGTAGTGCCTCAAGGAGCGAGGCAGCTGACTCTCCTGGTGTTTTAGGTCGTGTCCACCTGTCAGTTTTCATTAAATAAGTTTATTTAGGTATAGGTAAGTACAATTATCATACATTGTGTAAATTACCTAGGATAACCCCAACAAAATGTCGAAGTGGTTAATTTCCATTGGGGTCCTTAAAGTATAAATAATTTAAAAAAATATACGAAGTGGATATCTCAGTTCCTCAGTAATATATTTTTAAAACCCATATTGATATCTCATTTAATCCTATTGCGGTTTTTTTTCTTTTTGATCAACACAGTAATTATTTCGTCACTGCCTTGTTACTGATCTTTGTATCCTCTTCATTATATTTTTGTGTGCACTTACCTATTTTTGGTTGCAGGGGTCGAATCATAGCTTCTGGTCCCACCTTTTTGCTATGGTATGTGTTTGTGTGCATGAGTCACTGTCTAATTTTTTTGAGTTATCCTCTGCTGTGCATAATAAGGGGCTTTCTTTATTATAGTATCTTATTGTAGCATGTCATTCATGTCAACTAGGACTGTATACCTTGTACAGTACATGTACTTGTAGAAAGTAAAGATATTATTATTATTAATTTACACTATGTATGATAATTATACTTATGTGTCCCTGTACCTAAATAAAACTTACTTGTAATTTATTTGTATATTTTCTCACTAATACCACATGTACCTCTTCTGTATGACTGGCACTGCACAGTAGTGATGTCATTTCATAGGTTATTCTGGGTGGCTAACCCTCCAGGGTTAAAAATCCAAATCTTATCTTATCCTCTCTGGTTTCAGGGTCTTCTTGGGAAGTGGTCTAACCTTAAACAATCAAGACTCCAGTAGCATTTGGAAGGAAAGTCATGTCTTTCTCTAAGTATGTACACCATAAAGAGGTCACCATGCTTGCTGACAGTGAGAACAATTTTACACGTGATTTATATGTGGTAAGAAATGTGTAATGCATTTGTACAAATATTATCGTCTCATGCCAGAAGAGCCACATAAGTATTCATATGTAAGTAACATGTTGAGAGAGTAGGAAATAATGTTCTTGAGAAATAACAGACTTGTTCATGAAGGTGCATAAGTACCTATAAATCCCTTTTTTGATCTCCATGACACTTCTTACAGTATGAATGGGATGTAATCAAACATTCCATAACTAAATATAACTTGTGCCTAACAATATTTTGTTATATGTAAACTACATTACTTGTATACTGCAGAAAAAGAAATAAAATATGTGTATTTGTATGAACATTATGAGAACCTGGTGTAAGTAAAAAACTGCTTCTAGACTCGTCCTATCAGAGAGAATTACATAATTTCTTTCTGGCACTGCATAACTGGCAAAGGTGCAGCCAGTCCTGTCATGCTTTTGATATTTCACAGTAACAGCCTTGGAAACCAGTAATTAGTTGCTTATGGTAAGACAGATTTTTAAGCACTAATTCTCTTAAGATGTGAAAATCACATATGACGAGCTATTGGTTGTCTGACATGAGAATAATTTTTGGCACATCAAGGGGATACCTTTATGCCAGTTAAGTCCTCTTGAGCTAAGGAATTGGAACCATCCTTCCCTTTCCTGGATTAAACCTGGGTAGCTAATCATGTAGGTTAAAAATCTGAATAAATTTTATCTTAACCAGATTATCTCCCAGTCCCAGGTGCTGAATGACCTTGTTAGATTTAGTGCTTCACCATGAATATAATAACAATAACAATATCTTTCAGTCTAATACAGTACGAATAAGCTCTAGTGATAAGTCAAGCTCTCGCCTCACACACTGAGTGTCGGTGGTTAAATTCCCGGCCAGGTGGAAGCATTGGGCGTGTTTCCTTACACCTGCTGCCCCTGTTCACCTAGCAGTAAGTAGGTACCTAGGTGTTAGTCGACTGGTGTGGGTTGCATCCTGGGGGGATTGAAGGACCCCTAATGGAAGACAGATAATCCTTTGATGCACTGAATTTCTTGGGCTATCCTGAATGGCTAACCCTCTAGGTTAAACATCTGAACAAATCTTATTGCTCTTGTTTTCCATTTTTTGACACTCAGGTCTAGTCAGTACCACTGAGGTTATGCACAAATAGTACTAGCAGGCATACAGATGTAAACCAATTGTAATATTGTAGTGCTTATTTTTCTTTAACTCATTGGCAGTATCCTACTTAGGTAGGATGAACTGAAAAGGAAGAAACACTTACACCATCATTTACTTTATCACTGTCTTGCCAGAAGTGTGCTGACATTACAGCTCAGATGCCCCTCCACACTGCAGTATTGCAACCCCTCCTTCAGAGTGCACACACTGTACTTCTCACCTCCAGGACCCAAATCTGGCTAACTGGTTTCCCTGAATCTCTTCATAAATGTTACCTTGCTCACACTACAACAGCAATTCACGTCGTAAACATCACTTGCCCTTATCTAACATGCTTGCACATGCTTGTTGAATGTCCAAGCCCTTTAGCCTCCCTCCAGTTTTTCCTAGGACACCCCTTACCCCCTCTACTTTCCCTCATGGGTAAGTCTGACAGCACATATTGTACAGTAACAGTTGTACTGCATAAGTTGTACAGCACCAGTTGTACAGCATAATGTTATATAGCACCTATGGAATGGAAAGTAATGAGGTTTTATATGATAATTCAAAGATAGTTCCACTTTCTAGATCGAGCCCTTCACTAACATCAAAGCACTTTCCATTGAAGGGGTATATAAACAAACTCATACTCTGTGCCTTTCCTATTTCATGTGATTATTGCTAGTGTTTTAAAGCCAAAAATATTACTCATGAAATTGGCATTCCTCAGACAATAAATAAGTTAAAATACTTATTCTTAGGGATTTTTTCCCCTCACAGAAACTGGCCCAGAAGAGTTCGGGAAATCTTTTCTTTTCCCCCTTCAGTATAATGACTGCCTTGGGAATGACCTATGGTGGGGCTGCTGGCAATACTGAGACTGAGATGCGTTCAGTTATGCATCTATCCAAGGATAAGGAAGCAATCCATAATGCCTTCCATGATATTATCGCAGATCTGAAGGTATGTAACTTTCTTACTTTGTCTAGGAATCTTTATTCATGTGTCTTACCAGTATTCATTTTTTTTCATTGTCTGGGGATCTTTATTGTTGAGTTTAGGAAACTTTATTATTAGGCTTTAAGAATTTATTTCTGTCTAGTAATCTTTCTAATTGTACAGTTGATATATTGAAGTGTATAAAGGAATTGCCTCCAAGACATCATATGAAAATTTGCAACTTTAAATGTACCATAAAATCTCACCTGTATTGATACTGAGTGGGAACCAGAAATGAGTTGTAATAATTTTATTACAGTACATTACTAACACAAAATATTTGTTAATTGTTTGTTTTTTCACAGGTACTGTATCCGAAGTACAGTACAGTATTTCCATTATGCTACATGTAAGTTGGCTGCCATTTTATGCGTTTCACTGTGTGATAGTTTGTAAAACAAGTTGTAATGGAAAATATACCAGGTATGATGCTTGACAGTGACAGGTTTGCCAGCAGAGTCCTAATGTCAGTCTCATCAGTTTACACACATTTTATTGTTGTATTGCATATAGCAGCAGCAGCAATCTGCAATACTGATATGCAAAACTGCAAAGTTTTTCTCTACTGAAGACCATTCTGGTTGTGAACAATTTTTCAAGAATGGGGCCAATTTTTTACAAGAGTCAGCACACAGGTGTGAACCTTCAAACAATGTTTTTCTGTACGTATTATGTTTTTATCAGTTGATTTATGTTTTGTATTTGTTTGCTTATTTATGTGTCATGGACTTGGAACAATTTGGTAAAGATTGGTGTAGAATTATAGATTTAATAATTCAGATTGGTTGGTGTGAGAGAAGGCAGGTTGTTCTCTGTCGACAATGTTACTGGTACAGTACCTCACATAATTTTCCATTAAATAGGCATGATAAGATATTACTATAATTAACCCCTTGACTATCGCAACCCCCAAATTCTGAGGTGTCTCCTGGTGTTGCAAAAATTAAAAAAAAAAAAAAGATTTTTTCTTATGAAATAATAATCTTTTCACGATGGTAATGACACCAAAAGAACGAAATTTGATGGAAAACTGACGGATTTACGCTCTCGCGAAGTTAGCGACCTCGGCGATATTTACGAATCGGCAATTTTGTCCACTTTGAGCCCTATTTTCGGCTAATTCTGTTGTTCTAGTCTACCAAACTCATAGCTATTTCTTTAGAACTCCATTTTTTCTATTGATTGAGTACAAGAAACTGCCCATTTACCGATTTCAACTACCCAATAACATGGTCAGACATTTGCAATTTGGCCAATTTCACAAAAATTAAAAAATATGACAATTTCAAAATAGGGTCCAGAATGAACAATGCAGACATTCCTGGCTCTAAAATAACATTTTCTTTGTTCATCAGTCACGTCTCCAGGTCCCTCTGATACTACTCTTGCTTTCTATTTTGAAATTTTATTCAAACAAAAAATAGAAGATTTGCTGTTATGCAGACTACTGCAATATTGTAATAATTGTATAAATAATGTCAGCCCATTCATGACTGCATATTAGAATGGCTAGTTGGACATTTATTGGACAATGACATCATTTGTTTACTTTTGAACATTGGCAAAAATCAAACATTTCCCCTACTTTGAGCTCCATTTCCAGGTTCTTTTTATAATAAAACCAATCAAAAATCACCTCCATTTCTATAACATGTTTTCCATTCTATCAAATGAGACCAAAAAAACAAAGAGAATACAATCATAAATACTATACGAAAATAGACCACAAAGTCAGCATTTTAATTAAAAAACAATGGTCGGAGTTTTTTTTTTCTTATCATGCACTGCGTGCTGCAAGATTTTTTTTTATATGGTGCACACTGACCACACAGACCCATTCTCTCACATGTGGACCTACCAGCTTTCTCCTGCTTGATTTGAAGCCACTAGAATTTATGAGTATATTATATATACGTCAAAAACAGTGGCTCGTAAGATGTATATATACGACCGAAACAGTCAAAGGGTTAAGTTTATATACTCTAACCCTTTCAGGGTTTCGGCCGTACTAGTACGGCTTACGCGCTAGGGTTTTTGACGTACTATTACGCATAAATTCTAGCGCCTTCAAATCTCGCGGGAAAAGGTTGGTAGGCCTAGGTGTGAGAGAATGGGTGTGTGTGGTCGGTGTGCGTGGTAGAAAAAAAATTTGGGACCCAGTGGCGCATTGTGGGAACGCCATTTTAGTAGACCTTGTTCACCATGCCTTGCGGTAAGAAGCTCCTCACTCCTCGGCAAATTGGGACACTTTTGTTCCCCAGTGACAGTTCTAATACAGATGGAAGTGCCAATGAAGATGAGTTTCAAGGTTTTGGTGAGGTTGTGACCGAAACTAATAACCAGAATATTGGTAATAGTGAGAAAAACCCAGACGACCCTCAGCCTTCCACCTCTGTTGCTGGGCCGTCTTGTTCATGTTCAGTTGTACCAGAATCAAAGAGGAAACTCCTATTTTCCCAAATCCCGGACTCAGATGTGAGCATTGGTGATGATAGTGATAGTGAATATGAACTACAAGTTCTTGAAACCAGTTCTTGTAGTGATAGTGAAGTGGAATATTCTCCAGTGAAGCATCAGTATATACAACGATATATGCGCTCTGGTAGTGTGCCATATGCTATTCAAAGGGGAAGGAGTACATCTCGGAGTACATCCCATGGCTGTACAACAGGAACAGATAGTGAAAATGACGATGATAGTGTTGCATTTGGGATGGAAAAAATGCAAGGTGGTGGTAGTGGTGGTGCCGGCCGTGAGGCACCAGCAGTGGGCCATGCTGCCACCCACGCTGCCACCCACGCTGCCACCCACGCCGCTCCCTCAGCTGGTCTACAACGAAGGCCACCATCCCCCACCCACCCACCACACCAGCCTCCACAACCACAACCTCCACCCATCTAGAAACCCATCAGTTACACAACCCAGGGCAACATGGGTTTAGAACAGGTCTCTCCTGTCTGTCTTAACTATTGGATCACTACGATTAGGTCCTAGATGCACTAGAAGACAAAAAGAATGCAGATGTAATATATACAGACTTTGCAAAAGCCTTCGACAAGTGTGACCATGGCGTAATAGCGAGCAAAATGCATGCTAAAGGAATAACAGGAAAAGTCGGTCGATGGATCTATAATTTCCTCACTAACAGAACACAGAGAGTAGTAGTCAACAGAGTAAAGTCCGAGGCAGCTATGGTAAAAAGCTCTGTTCCACAAGGCACAGTACTCACTCCCATCTTGTTCCTCATCCTCATATCTGACATAGACAAGGATGACAGCCACAGCACCGTGTCTTCCTTTGCAGATGACACCCAAATCTTCATGACAGTGTTTCCATTGCAGACACTGCAAGGCTCCAGGCAGACATCAACCAAATCTTTCAGTGGGCTACAGAAAACAATATGAAGTTCAATGATGAGAAATTTCAATTACTCAGATATGGTAAACACGAGGAAATTAAATCTTCATCAGAGTACAAAACAAATTCTGGCCACAAAATAGAGCGAAACACCAACGTCAAAGACCTGGGAGTGATCATGTCGGAGGATCTCACCTCAAGGACCATAACATTGTATCAATCGCATCTGCTAGAAAAATGACAGGATGGATAATGAGAACCTTCAAAACTAGGGATGCCAAGCCCATGATGACACTCTTCAGGTCACTTGTTCTATCTAGGCTGGAATATTGCTGCACACTAACAGCACCTTTCAAGGCAGGTGAAATTGCTGACCTAGAAAATGTACAGAGAACCTTTACAGCGCGCATAACGGAGATAAAACACCTCAGTTACTGGGAGCGCTTGAGGTTCCTGAACCTGTATTCCCTGGAACGCAGGCGGGAGAGATACATGATTATATACACCTGGAAAATCCTAGAGGGACTAGTACCGAACTTGCACACGAAAATCACTCACTACGAAAGCAAAAGACTTGGCAGACGACGCAACATCCCCCCAATGAAAAACAGGGGTGTCACTAGCACGTTAAGAGACCATACAATAAGGGTCAGGGGCCCGAGACTGTTCAACTGCCTCCCAGCATACATAAGGGGGATTACCAACAGACCCCTGGCAGTCTTCAAGCTGGCACTGGACAAGCACCTAAAGTCGGTTCCTGATCAGCCGGGCTGTGGCTCGTACGTTGGTTTGCATGTAGCCAGCAGTAACAGCCTGGTTGATCAGGCTCTGATTCACCAGGAGGCCTGGTCACAGACTGGGCCGCGAGGGCATTGACCCCCGGAACTCTCTCCAGGTAAACCACAACCACCTGTCAGTGTCCAGTACCCACCAGCAGACCACACCTGGGATTGGCAGGAAGCTCAGTTTTGCTCCAAATACCCACCAGGTTGATGAAAGCCAAAGTTGAATATGGCCATGTTGTACACTGGGGAACAATGCCACTGAACTGGAATGTTTCGAGTTATTCTTTGACGAACCCCTGATGGAAATTATTGTCAGGGAAAGCAACAGATACTACAAGTACACCATGGCAAACACATCACTTTCACCAAAATCACGTCTACACCAGTGGAAGGAGACAACTGTAGCTGAGATGTATCTTTTCTTTGCCACAATAATGCTTATGCCACATGTGTATAAGCACAGTGTGAAATCATACTGGCCAACAGACTGCCTGATTGCAACCCCAGGTTTCAGTGATATAATGGGAGTGAATCGATTTGTGCTACTGTTACGTATGCTTCACTTCTCAGACAAAACCAGGCCTGACAGAAACGACAGGTTATATAAGATTAGGAATGTGTTTGTGTATCTGAAAGAGAAATTCAGTATGTATTTTTATCCCTTCAGGAAGCTTGTAATTGACGAGTCATTGATTCTGTTCAAAGGAAGACTCTCTTTCAAGCAGTACATACCAAGCAAGAGGAAATGCTTTGGTATAAAGTTGTTTGTGCTTTGTGATTGTTACAGTGGTCTGGTATTGGATATTATTGTGTACACTGGAA